AGTAAGCACTAATGCAATTGTATTGGGGAATCTCAATACCCTACTGTCACAAAAAGATCAACTACGCAAAATGTCAACAATGAAATATTAGAGCTGAACCAAACTTTTGAACAAATGGACTTAGTAGATGTCTACAGAGTGTTCCACCCCACAGCATCAGAACACACATTTTTCTCAGCTCCAAAATAGACCACATACTAGCTCACAGAACATGCTTAAGTAAATGCAAAGAAACTGAAATTATTCCATGCATATTATCAGACTACAGTGCAATGAAATTGGAAATCAATGGAAAAAAAAAAAAAAACCATAAGAACTTCATAAACCCTGGAAAGTAAAAGGCCCTGAGTTCGATCCCTGGTAACAAAAAAAAAAAAAGAACTTCATAAACATGTAGAAATTAAATAGTACCCTCTTGAACAACTGATGGGTCACAAATGAAATTAAAGAAATTAGACAGTTTCTACAACTGAATGATAATGATGATACAGCATACCAGAACTTTCAGGACATAATGAAAGCATCCTAAGAGGGAAGTTTATAAAAGTGAGTATCCATATCAGGAAAACAGCAAGCTCAAATAAACAACTTAATGGCGAACCTCAAAATTTCTAGAAAAAGAAGAGCAAGCTAAGCCAAAAGCTCACACAAGGGAGGAAATTATAAAGATCAAAGCAGAAATTATCACATTGGAGACTAAGAAAATAATACAAAAAATCAATGAATGGAAGAGTTGGTTCTTTGAAAAATTAAATAAAATTAAAAAACCCTTTTCCAGCCTTATCAAAAAGAAAGAAAGAAAGAAAGACTCAAATCCATGCAATTAGGAATGTAAAGGGTGAAATCACAACAGACCCTGTACAAATCCAGATCATCTGCACCTACTTTGAAAACTTGTACTCTAATAAGATGGAAAATGTAGAAGAAATGGACAGATTCCTAGATACATATGAATTACCAAAGCTGAATCAAGAAGATATAAAAATCCTAAATAAACCAGTATCAATCAATGAAATCAAAGATGTAATTAAAACCTACCAACAAAGAAAAGCCCAGGCTCTGACAGATTTACTGCTGTAGTCTACAAGAAATTTAGAGAAGATCTAACACCACTACTTCCCAAACTCTTTAATGAAATTGAATTACAAAGTTTTTTTTGGTACCAGAAATCGAACTCAGGACCTTGCACTTGCCAGGCAGGTGCTTATGCTCCTGAGCTATAGGAGCATAAGCTCTTTAATGAAATTAAAAGGGAAGCAATACTCCCAAGGGAAGCAATACTCCCAAATTCATTCCTGGAAGCAAGCATTACCCTAATACCAAAACCAGAGAAGGACCCAACTAAGAAAGAAAGCTACAGGCCAATCTCTCTAATGAACATAGATGCAAAAACCCTCAATTAGATACAGCAAACAGAATGCAGTAAATTATTAAAAGATTATACACCATGACCAAGTGGGATTTATGCTAGGGATGCAGGGATAGTTCAACATATGCAGATCTATAAGTGTAATACATCCTACTAACAGAGCCAAGGAAAAAAATCATATGATCACCTCAATAGATGCAGAAAAAGCTTTTGACAAAGTCCAGCACCCATTTATGATAAAAACCCTACAGAAAATTGGAATAGATGGCCTATAGCACAATCTGTAAAAGCCATCTATGGCAAACCAACAGCCAACATCATACTAAATGGACAAAAACTGAGAGCTTTCACTCAAGTCAAGAACAAGACAAGGATGTCCACTGTCTCTACTCTTATTCTGCATAGTCTTGGAAACTTTAGCCATAACAATTAGACAAGAGAAAGAATTACAGGAATGGAAGAAGTTAAATTATCATTATTTGCAGATGACATGATACTCTACATAGAAAACCCAAAAAACTTCATAAAAACTGCTAGATTTAATAAGCAAATCCAGTAGCATAGCTGGATACAAAGTCAGCACTCAAAACTCCGTAGCCTTCCTGCACATGAATAACAAACTCACTGAGAGAGAAGTTAGGGAAACAACACCTTTCACAATAGTATCCAAAAAAATTTAAATACCTAGGAATCAGTCCAACGAAGGATGTGACAGACCTCTACATTAAAAACTACAGTACTCTTAAAAAGGAGATTGAAGGGGATATGAGAAAATGGAAAGATATCCCCTGTTCTTGGGTAGGAAGAACAAACTTAGTGAAATGGCCATACTTCCAAAAACTGATAAAGACTTAAGGCAATTCTGATCAAAATTCAACAGCATATCTCATGGAATTATAGAAAACAATCCTAAAATTCATTTGGAGCCCAAAGAAACCTAGAATAGCAAAGGCAATTCTGGGCAACAAAGGCAAGGCACAGGGCATCACAATCCTTGACTTGAAATTATACTATAAAGCTACTGTGATAAAGACAGCATAGTACTGGTAAAAAAACAAAAACAAAAACAAAAACAGACCTGAAGATCAATTAGAAGACTGAACAGATTAGAAGATGCAGAAACAACTCTAGGCATACTCAGCCACCTTATCTTTTTTTTTTTTTTTTTTTTTTTTCCAGTACCAGAAATCGAACTCACAACCTTGCGCTTGCTGGGCAGGCACTGTGCCGCTGAGCTAAATCCCCAGCCTCTTAGCCACCTTATCTTTGAGAAAGTTGTCAAACGCGTTTACTGGAGGAAAGATAGCCTCTTTAATAAATGGCGCTGGAAAAATTGGCCGTGCACATGCTGAAGCTTAAAATTGGACCTATGTCTTTCATCATGCACTAAACTAAATTCAAAATAGATCAAAGATCTAAATGTTAAAACAGAAACATTAAATCTGCTGGAAGATAGAACAGGTAAAACTCTTAAAGACAGTGGTATAGGCAAAGACTTTATGAATAAAATCCTGATCACATAGGAACTATCACAAAGAATCAACAACTGGGATTTGATCTTATTAAGAAGCCTTTGCATAGCGAGAGAAACCACCAACAGAGTGAAGAGACAACCCACAATGTGGGAAAAAGTGTTTGCCAGCTGTTCCTCAGACAAAGGATTACTATCAAGAACATAGAAAGAACTCAAAAATATCAGATCTCCCAAATTTAAAGACTCAATCCACAGATGGGCATCTGAGATAAATACACACTTCTCAGATGAAGACATACAAACAGCAAATAAATATATGAAAAAATATTGAACATCACTGGTCTTTCGAGAGCTGCAAGTTAAAACAACACTGAGATTCCATCTCACCCAAGGATGGCTATTATCAAGAAATCAACCAATAACAACTGCTGCAGGGGCTGTGGGGAAAAAAGAGCCCTTCTCCATTGTTGGTGGGAGTGTAGACTGGTGCAACCACTGTGGAATCAGTGTGGAGATTCCTCAAAAAACTAGAATTGGAGGCCCCATTTGACCCAGCTATTCCCCTTCTGGGTGTCTTCCCAGAAGAGTTAAAAACACTGTACCATGGCAATATATGTGCACCCGTGTTTATAGCAGCACAATTTGTAGTAGTTAGATCTTGAAAACAACCCAAATGCCCATCAACCGAGGAATGGTTTAAAAAAGATGTGGGCTTTTTATACAATGGAGTACTACTCAGTCATAAAGAAGAATAAGCTGGAGACTTTTATAGGTAAATGGATGCAACTTGAGACCATACTCATAAGTGAAATAAACCAGATGCACATGTGCGAACGTCATATTATCTCCCTAGTGCAAGAAGCTCAAAGAGTAAATAATATCCAAAATGTACAATAGATATTGTAAAATGGGGAAAAACTATTCAAAAGGAAAGAGAAACTGGGATGGGGAAAGGATAAAAGAAGGGAAAAGCAATATATATTTATGATAGTTAAGATAGTTATGCTACTAATTTTTCTTACTTTATTGAGAAGAAAGGTTTGTACTAATATTGTTTGTACAATTAAATGCTCATATCTTATACTCTAAGCAACTAATTTAAAGATAATAATATACAAAGTATTAACCATTGTTACCCTCCATTATCTTGTTATGAAATTTTATTCTATTTTCTCTTTAAAATAAAAAAAAAGTTTTCAAATCATGATAATAAAAAGTGGATGGAGCCAGGTGTGGTGTGGTGGCCCACGCCTATAATCCTAGCACTCTGGGAGGCTGAGGCAGGAGGATGGCAAGTTTAAGCCTAGCCTAGACAACTTAGGGATTTAGCAAGACCCTGTCTCAAGGCAAAACATTTTAAAAGGGCTGAGAATGTAATTCAGTATGAATGTCCTGGGTTCAATCCCCTGCACCAGACAAATAAAAATAGATGGATTATTGGTTTTGGTACAGTTTGGAATTCTCCATGAATGATGCATCTCCTTGCTGCTTACACTCAGAGTAGACGCTCCTGCTCCCTGCCCCTGTTCTGCCTCTGCTGGGGGAAGAACGTTCCAGGAGGCTGGATGACCTGGCTGGTCAGACTTCAAGTGAGGAGGACGTGGGAAGAAGGGTGCTGCGAAGACGGAGACTTATTGCAGGAATTTGTCGTAGAAGTGATGGGGGCTTCCACCAAGGTGGGGTGGTGGTAAAAATGCTGCCAGTTCTGGATATTTTTGGAAAGCTCAGCTGACAGCCTTTACCAGGAGCCTACTAAGTGAGTTCTTAAGGATTGCTAATCTTGCTATTCATGGAGCAAAATTAGCATGTGTCTAGAATTTCCTAAAGACTTGAGTTTGGCATTATAAGAAGTCCGGCTGCTTCGTGTTACGGACTTTATATCGTTCCCCAGTCCATGCCGAGCTGAAATTCTGCTGAGGAGTAGGAGGAAGTAGGTGTGCCTTTGTGTGGCTCTTTGCCCCACCAAAGTGAACTTCAGCCAACAGCAGGTAGGAGCTACTGATAAAGACTGGGCAGTCACCCCAGCTGCTCCTGGGCTCATTTGAAGGGGAAAGCCAGCTGCTGGGGTGGATCAGCTCTGGGCCAGTCTCATGACTTCAAGTGAAGCCTCCTACACGAAGAGAAGACATTCATGGCTCCTGCTACCTTTTGTTGCAGCTGGACGACCACAGAAGCATGATGCACATCCACGTGTTTGCAGCCTATTTTGGGCTGGCTGTGGCCTGGTGCCACTCAAGTCCTCTTCCCCAGCAGAAGGAAGTGCAGGAAGAAAATGTTCCGGTGTCCAGAAGCACCAGTATGTTTGCCATGCTTGGTAAGGACAAGGTGGGTGGGTGGTCTTCTGCTGGGGCAAAGCCAAGAGATTCAGAAAATGCCCTACTGAAAAGTCTGTCCATTACTCTCTTCCCTGAGGGCCTGAGGTATTTCCAGAGGGCCTTTTACCTGAAGGAATGTTTGTTGAGTTCATACCTTTGGATTAAACATTTCCTTCTAGGGACCCCTCTTCATTAATATTCTGTTGGCAGGACAGACTTCTTCTGTTTGAGTTTGAAGACATATATCTAATCCTTTGGACCTCAACTGAAAATAGGAAAGTAGAGGGGCTGAGGATTTAGCTCAGCGACACAGCGCCTGCCTGGCAAGTGCAAGGTTGTGAGTTCGATTCCCAGTACTGGAAAAAAAAAAACAAAACACAACCCCCCTCCCAAAAAAAAAACCCAAATAAAAATAAAAATAAAAAAGAAAGTAGGAAAGTAGAAAAGTGAAGAAAGTAGGGTCCGTGAGTAAGCATAGGGGTAGGAGGAGAGCAGCAGTAATGTTGCATTTTGCAAAGCAGCCCTGAAAATGATGAGTATAGATGGCTGGGGGAGGCTGGGAGGAAAATCAGACGGACAGACAGACAGCCAATAGCAGGTACATAAGTATCAGCCTATGGAGCCAAGTTAAAGCAGTATAGTGACTTTTAAAAACAAGCATTTGGCCATTACAGACAGGAGTCCGGAGGCATGGGGTCTCTAGGCCTTGTTTTCCTTGTAACATATGTAAGCTGATCCTCACCAGTTTGAGAACTCAAGAGGAGACATGACCTGCCCCAAGCCATGCAGCAAGAAAGTGGCCAAGCACAGACCTACCAGCTGTAGGACCCTCCTCCTCCGAAGCACCTGGAGATTCAGGACTTTGGAGCAGGGATGAGGCTCTGCCCAACGGCCCTCTCTGTCCCGCAGGGACCCTCTTCTTGTGGATGTGCTGGCCAAGTTTCAACTCTGCTCTGCTGGACATTGCAAATGAAAAGAAGAATGCTGTGTTCAACACCTACTATGCCCTTGCGGTCAGCACGGTGACAGCCACCTCAGTGTCAGCCTTGATTCACCACCAAGGGAAGATCAACATGGTAAGAAGGGGCCACCCCTTGGGCAGCACTTGGGGGTGTCAGGCCTAACCCACATCCTCACGCCCTCTCCTGCCACCAGCACCAGCTCTGTGTTTCCCAGTCAGGTGACTGCTGTGTGTGCCTGAGAGGGGGAAGTGAGATGGGCCCAAGGATGAAGGTCGTGTAGTCCTTCCACCAAGGGGAAGTGATGGTTTCAGGGTCAGTGAAGTAGGAACGTTTTACAGGGTTGCTTCTCTGCCAGCTTATCAAGAAGTCGTGGGCAGATGGTGTCCACTCTGCGCCTCACTCCATTCATACACAAGCTATTTTTTTTGCAGATTGATATCCACAATGCGGTGCTGGCAGGAGGTGTGGCTGTGGGTGCCTCGTGTCACCTGATTTCCTCTCCTTGGATTGCTATGGTGCTGGGCCTTTTGGCTGGGTTGATCTCTGTCGGGGGAGTCAGATGCCTGCCGGTGAGGAATTACCCACTGCTTTGGCTGAGACCAGCGGGAACCTGGGTTTATGGTGGGCTATCATGGGCGCCAGGGCTGCATTAGATAGGTGTTGGCACTTTCTCCATCGGCTTCAAAGTCTGATGAGGGACCCACTATAGATGAATGGTGCATTTTTTAGGGTGCTGGAGAACAAGTAAGGTGACCCCTTCAAGTTTTCTTGGGCATGAGAGGGAGTTTGTTATACGGCAACTAAGGTATCATATGTCAGAGGTGCTGCCGGGAACCCAGGAGTGCCTGGCATCAGGGACTCCTTGTGGGGCAATGCTAGGAAGTCTCTGCTCTTTCTTTGGTTTTCCTGCACATCTGCTTTATTCTCTCTCTGTAGACCTGTTACCTCTTCTCCTGTACAGAGTGGGAGAATCGGTTGGCCTTTTGCTTCCAGAAAGTAGCCAATTCCAAATCCTCTGGAGAAGGGGCTCCTTGGTTTAATTAGGGAAATGTATCATTTTGGACATACAGGGCTGTTGCCATGGGGGGGGGGGCAGGAGAAGCACCCAGAGGAGCGAGAGCCAGGCTGATGATCCAGCTCATGTCCATTTCTGATTGGTTTACTTCTTCAAGTGGGTTTTCCTTCGGTACTCCACTGATTGTACCAGAACACTCCATTACGGTCAACTGGTTGTAATGTGCTCCTAAGAGAAACATTTAGAGCCAGCAAATCTAAAACATTTGAAGGAAAAAGAAGACTTCTGAAGGCTGAATTTGGATAAATGGTGGATATTCAAGAAGTCAGTTTTGACTCAAAGAAGAATATACCAACAGTAGCCCGAGGATAAGACAGTGTGCTTTTCATCCGTACAGTGAGCACAAATGCCTTATTTCTTCTGGCTTTGAACCCCTGAGATGAAGGAGGACATGCAGAGCAAAAAATGCTGGCGATGCTGCCATCTGGCTCAGTGTCCACGATTTTCTTGGTGCCTCAGTTACTGACTGTGTCACAGGAACGGGGAGGGAGTTCTACTTAAAGGCCATTCGTTCATTCATTCATTCATTCACCAAATATGTTCTAATACTTATCCTGTTTCTCAAGCAACAGTTTAGTGAAGGCAATGGACAAATACATGCAATGCAGTATGATAACTGCTGCAAGAGCCCATCAAAGCTAGACTAGGACAGGTCAGAAAATACTTCCCGGAGCTTAGAACATCCAAGCCACGCAGTGACAGATAAGCTGTATTAGCCAGGCAAGGAAGCGGGAAATACATCCCAAGCAGGAGCGGTGTGTACAAAGACTCAATGGTGAGGAAAGATTGTGTTCCAACCAAGAAACAGACATTCTCCTGGCCACAGCTTTGGGGTCACCCTCTAGCCTGGTGGGACCGGAGCCTGGAGAGATGGATGGTGCTTGGGTCCATCTCCTGGACTAGTGAGGAGTCTGGTTTTGTTTTTGGAAGACAATGGGGATTCTAAGGAGGGAATTCGCCCAGTGAAATTTGCACTTGTCTAGGGGAAGAGATGGAAGGAACATTGAACAGGCGTCTTGGGTGCAGTCAGGTGTTTTTCTTCTGACTTTTCATCTCATCAGCCATGTTTTATTAATGACAGCCCTTAAATGTGGCTAGACCAGTGTTCACCCCCATCCCACCCAGGAGACAGCTGATAATATCTGGAGACTTCTTGATTGGTGCAACTAGGCAGGGTGTTACTGGCATCTAGAAGGTAGAAGCTAGGGATGTATTAAACAGCCTACGCATCCTTCTGCCCCCACCCCAAACACGGGGTTATCAGCTTTGAATGTGATTTGTGCCTACACCAGCCCCTTGCTGCTCAGAGTATGACTCAGTAGCAGGAGCATCACGTAGGAGCTTGTTAGCAATGCAGCACCTGAGGCCCCACCTCACCCCATGGAGTCCTTATCTGTATTGTAAAGAGTCTCCCGGGGATGCATGTTCAAGTCTGAGGAGGGCAAGTTTTTCTGTTATTCCCCTTTGGTGGTCTTGGATGGGGAGGAAATTTGAGTCTCACTTGCAGATCTGCTCATAATGCCATTTGTCCCCAGGTGTGTTTTAACCGTGTGCTGGGGATTCAGGACCAAAGTGGCGTGCACTACACTTTCGGCTTGCCAGGTCTGCTGGGAGGGTTCACTTACATGGTGCTGATAATGCTTCAGGCCTCCGGGAAACCTAGGTGAGTTTCTAAGCTCCATCCTTCACACCGGTCCAGCTCTGTAGCAAATGAACCCAGAGCCCCATGCAGGGGAAATGCATTCAGGGCCAGACACTCAGTAGGGCCTCAGGAAATTTTTGTTGGCTGATGTACTCAGAAATTGTCACCATGCACGGCATTATCACTCCTCTAGGCCACTTCTTATCCAAAAGGTGCAGCTTCGTCTGCTGGGCAGAGGCTCGAAGTCCTGAGCTGCACAGATGCAGACAGGCCAGATGGATCTGGGCCAAGCCCACTCGGTCAGTTTTGCAGACAAACGGTGGTTGAGGTCAAGGTGAAGAGCTTGCACTGCGGAGTCAGACTGGTCTTGAAACAGTTCCCATCGCTTCCTGGCTAGACACGCCGCTGCACCTCCCCCAACCCTGGCTCCCCCAGGGAGAATGAAGTCCTCGGTGAGGTTATTGAGAGGGTACTTGATGCCTGTGCTATATGCTTAGGAGGATTTAATAAACAGTGTAGGAAAACCGTTCAGCCATCAGTCTATTCTTTCAACTTAGTTCCCCTAATAGCTAATTAAAAGGAATATCTCAAAGGGAGTGGGGGCACACATCTGTCATCTCAGCTGTTCTGGAGGCTGAGGCAGGAGGCTAGCCTAGGCAACACAGCAAGACCCTGTCTCAAAATAAAGTAAAAAATGAGCTGAGGATATTGCTCGTGGTAGAGAGCACTGGCCTGACATGCATGAGGCCTATGTTCCATCTGCAGTGCTATAAAAAAAGAAAATAGAAACACTTTTCATAGGTCTTTTGGACATTTGAATATCTTGTGAAATATTTGTTCAAATTCTTTGGGCCTTTTTCTATTGTATTTTTTTATTTTTATTTTTATTTGAGACAGAGTCTTGTTGTGTACTCCATGCTAGCCTTGAACTCACTGTGTAGCCCAGGCTAGCCTTGAGCTCACAGCGATCCTCCTGCCTCAGCCTCCTGAGTGCTGGGATTATAAGTGTGTATACCATACCCAGCTCAGAATTCTTTATGTATTCTAAATGTAGGTCCTTTGTTATACATATTATGTTCTCCTTTTTTTTTGGTCTTTTTGAGACAGGGTCTTGCTATGCAGTTCAGGCTGGCCTTTCTTTTAAAAAAATTTTTATTTTATTTTATTTTATTTTTCAGGCTGGCCTTGAGCTCACTTTGTAGCCCAGGCTGGCCTCGAACTCCCAACTATCCTCCTGCCTCAGCCTCCTGAGTGCTGGGATTACAGGCATGCGCCATCATGCCCAGCTTGTTCTCCTATTTTTGTAAGTTACTTTTCCCTTTCTTATGTCTTTTGATAACACAAGTTCATAATTTTAATGTAATCCAATTTATCACGTTCCCTGTATTTTACTCTTTTATGTCCAGTTTAAGAATCTTTTTTGAGCAGGGTGTGGTGGTGCACATCTGAAATCTCATCCCTTGGGAGGTTGAGGCAAGAGGATCATAAATTTGAACCCAGCCTGGACAAGTTGACATAGTGAGACGCTTTCTCAAAATTTAAAAAAATGCATTAATAAGACTGGTGGTTGGGCTGGGGATTTAGCTCAGCGGCAAAGCGCCTGCCTGGCAAGCGCAAGGTCGGGAGTTCGGTTCCCGGTACCAGAGAAAAACCAAAAACAAACAAAAAAAAAAGACTGAGGGTTGGGTGTGGTGGTGCACCCCTGTAATCCCAGCACTCAAGAGGCTGAGGCAGGAGGATTGTTGTGAGTTGGAGGCCAGCCTGGGCTACAAAGTGAGCTCAAGGTCAGCCTGAACCACATAGTGAGACCCTGTCTCAAAAAGACAAAAACAAACAAACAAATAAA